TCTGAATTCGATAAATCGCCAAACGAATGGCGATTCTTCTGAAAGAACGACGTTTTTAGATGACAGTATGTGGATGTGATGCATGGGGCCACAGAATACGAAAAGCCTTTAGGAAAACTAAGATAGGAGACGTTCAGCTTGTATGTATAATAATAATGCATGTAGCATGTATGTGAATTAACCATGTTCTCTCATTTTCTCATTACAGAAAGCTCTGCTGGTAAGCAAACTCTCTGTTTCAAGCTTCCGTTCGAGCATCGAGCTTCTTAAACATTTATCTGGCAGACATCGAGCTTTTTAAACAATGATCGTTCCAATATTTAAGATACTTTTCGTTCTAAATTTTTTGTTGAATATTTCCAAGTAGAGATAGAACTCTTTTACTACTATTTAGAATATTCTAAATCTTTTCTAAATATATAATACACTATTGAAAGATCTGAATACATTGTAAGAAAAATTGAACTTCAGGTTATAGAAGAAATTGATTTGATTACATGAATTTAGAAATTTCTATCAAGCACTATATTGTGCAATTAAATTGTAAAAGTCCTCTGTAAATATAATTCCAGAATTCGCATAGATAATTGCTCGACGATTGCTGCTACGTTGTCTCTGTTTAAAAATAAATTAATTAAGTGGCCTGAGAACAATTTTAATATTAGAATTTTGCTCGTTCTCATTCCTTTCATATTCCAATCTCTAAATACTTGCAAACCCTAATTGCTTGGCCAGTTACGTTCTTTGTCTGTAGATTTGCAATATCAAGAATCTATCTATCAATCTGCTAGATTTTCCTTCTTTAAAATTATTCAAATTGTTCAAATTATTTATTCTACACACGATACATGTGTCGTACGAAGTTTTATACATCAACAAGTTTATAAATGTTCGTTTTCTTAAATCTCTGATCTTTTTTTCCTTTCTAAATATATTTCTTACACATGTATACAATACACACGTAATGTGGAATTTTATATATTGTTATATAATGTGTTCATTCTTAAATTTCCTCTTCACACACGTGAATATAACATGACGAAAAGTTATTATACTTACACCTGTTGTGCTGCAATGAACTGTAAAGAATATTTTCAAGGTGTTTATCACGAGGTAAGACAAACGATAGTACCAGCTAGTCATTATTGTGCATGAGACCAGATAGCATTCTGAAGTAATAATAGTAATTGTAAGTTTTTTTAAAGCTTGCGTTACTAGGAAAAGAAGGAAAAGAGTCCACGAATATTCTGTCACAGTTCTTTGCAGTACAACTCTCATTTTACGTTTATTCTTCTTTCACCACACGTGTCGTCGTCCATATTTTTCTGGAATGTCAAAAGAAAGAACAAAATTATGCAAGAAATTTTCTATCATAGACTATCTATTATAAGATGAAAAATTCTTAGGTTCTTGTAAATTGATTTAATTGCAATTGACTTGAAGAGATTGAGGATTGGATTGGTTTTGATGTATTTTCAATGTAGCAATGCACTATTTGGAAATAACACCTGACGATAAGAGTGCAGAAAAAGATTCTAACTATTAATTTTAAAATATGAATAGATTTACACAAAGTATTTTTAGAATAATTCATTAGAAGTTGAAGCATTGCCTAGAAAAAAATTCCAAACACTCTGAATAAGATTAATTTACTGGAGAATTTTACTTGTTAACAGTCTTCTTACTCTTCTCCTTTTTTTTTTTTTTTTAATTATTATTTTATTATTCTAATGTCATATCTCGCTTCATTCATCGTTACTCACAATTACTATTTTTCACACAAACCTTTTACAAGATACAAGAGATGCATATCTTCTGACTTCAGTCTGTTACAATTTCACTGCACGAGTAGATACCCAGTATTTGTTTTAACTAAATGTTAATTAAATCTACGATAGAGATTCACGCTTAATTTTTCAAAGGTATTCTTTTGTCGTCGATACAATAGTAACGCTAGGTAAGCTTGAGGGTAAAGAATTGGAATAATTATCACAAATTGACAGGATATTGTTCAGAACACGTTTCGACATTTATATGAATATAAATATTAATTAATTGTCAGTAAAGAGTCAAAAAATACTTTCACTTTGTTGTTCTCTTCTCTAGCTTACCAATGTGTTGGGTTTGTACCAAGATCTTTACCTTCAATGTAGGCCATGAGAGAATGAAATGTGTAGAACAATCGTTCGTCAAAACGTTTCATTATGTAATCAACAGGTGAAGAAGATGCAGGACAGGGTGCAGAAGACGAAGGAAGAAGTACAAAAGGCGAAGGAGAAATACGAGGCTGCGTTGCAAGAGATCAATCAGTACAATCCGAAGTATATGGAGGATATGACACAAGTGTTCGAGAAGTGTCAAGAAATGGAGGCGCAGCGGCTTCAGTTCTTCAAGGACGTTCTCTTCGGCATTCACAAATGTCTGAATATATCTCAGGATCCAATGTAAGCTTCTAACTATCGAACGGTGGATTATTTGAAATTTAAAAAAAAAAAAAAAAAAAAAAAAAAAAACGAGAAACTTCACTCGAATTGAGGGAATGAGATTTTAAAGATTCTCGACAGGAGAGTATTTAGAAGTCTTTAAAAATTTATTAAAGCAAATTATCCTCTCGGGACGATCTTCTTGAAAAGAATGTCGAGCTCTCTTCTTATCGTTCGCAGACTCCCACAAATATACGAAGAATTCTACCACACAATCAACAATGCGGATCACGAAAAGGATTTGAAATGGTGGTCGAACAATCACGGTGTAAATATGGCAATGAATTGGCCGCAGTTCGAGGTAAGTTCGCGGAACAAAGAATACATAACGCATTGCAATAATTCTTCCTTATCGCATGTTAAACTCTTGCTGATGGTTGAAGATCTGATGTTAGAAAATATAGATGTAGAGTGTACTGGATATCATTCTTGTTCTCTCCCTTTTTATAACTGCATTAATATCGTCTGTTTAGTTACATTTCTGTATGTCTGGATATTCTGCAATATTTCGTTGGAAAATAATTTTGCTATATAATTAAATAAAGTTGCTGTTGTTACGTGGAAATTTAAAGTACAACGACTGACTTAATACTCTAAATTTCCATACATGTGATAGATTAAAATAGTACATTGTTTTTTTTCTATATAATACTGATACATCTGTTCAAATACATATTTGAAACGAGATTCCAATTTATTTTTGAAATAATTTCACCCTCATCCATTTGCGTGTATTGTTCACAATCTCTGTCATTAACAGAGTGAATCTGAAAGTATTTTATGAATAAAAGCAAATGAAATGGATCTATGGATCCACGTTGTTTTTGAAGACAGGTTTTAATCTAGTTGCTCCAGTTTTTTTTTTTTTTTTACTCTTGTGAAATTCCTCTCGAAGGAAAGAGAAAAATTATTCCTCCATATGATAGACGTCCCCCGAGAAATTCAAATATCTTCCGGAATGCATGCATGTGATTGTCTTTTTTTTTGGGCGTTGCTATTACGCAGGACTACACAGAGGAGTTCCGTGACATCACCAAGGGCTCAAAGTCGAAGGAGGCTCTTCCTGCTGGCTCCATCACGCTCATCAATCAACGCCCGGTCGGCGAGGATGTGCATGTAAAGTTTCGTTACGTTTTACACTTTTACGTTCGCCTGTTCATCGTTCGCACATGTGAAAATCCATTACGTACACGCAAAATACGCGCACGTGCTTACACGTATGTACACAGTGCAAAAGAGAAAAAAAGGAGGGAAAACAGCGAAGTTTTACAAAGAGAAAAAAAAAAAAAAAAAAAAAAA